GGGGGGGGGGGGGGGGTTCTTAACATTTCCTCACTTTATATTTAAAAGGAAAGAAAAAGATTGTGTCTTCAGCTATACTCTTGACTTGCTTTGTTTATCAGTATGTGCCGGACCGAATCTGATCCTCGTGGGTGGGCACCTACCTGCCAGAACCACGTTCCCTGGAGGATGCTTAAACTGGAGCGGAATAATTCCAGGACAATGTTGTCTCTCAGAAACACTTCAATCATAATATTGATAGAGCCGCCAAAGACTGCTATGAGCAGCAAGGAGTGTATGTGCTGATCCAGGGGGGGCCGGTTGTGGACGTGGTAATAGAATAGGAGACCTGCCGAGAGAAAGGCGGGGAAGGGGGTTATAAGAAAAATCAACAGGAAGCAAATAATAACTTATTCATTTATAACTGAGATAAATGTGAGACCTTCTACAGGATTGTACAATGACCTCCAGGGAAATGGACCTCAATAAAGCCCAATCTGAACATTTTAATGAAAGCCGAGGTCGCAGCTGCCGACATTGATAAGTACGTGGAAGCCAGATATATAAAAGTCATAACACGCTAAATCACTCCTAATATACAAATGGGTTTTATTTAGCCCAACAGGTGTGTGCGCCTTTAAGAGCCAATCAGAATGTATCCTTTATTACCTCCTACACTGCTTGGGGGCATGAAAGGCAGAATCTGAATGGCTGCTCTGGGCAACTAAGACACTGAGAGAGATACACATAGACATCTACCTACAAATACAATGAGATAGGTAGGGCTGCAGCTAATGATTATTTTCATAATCGATTAGTTGCCTGATTATTTTTTCAACTAATCGATCGGTTGTATTAAAAAATTATCTCTCACCATTCTCTCTCTCAGATCCCCCCCAACTAATCATTGATGAGAATCGTTACCAACTATTCTCATTATCGATTATAATCAATTTAGTTGTTGCAGCCCTAGAGATAAATACATATAGACATCACCTCTAGATACAATGATCGAGATAGACATCACCTATAGGTACAATGATATAGATACACATAGGCATCACCTATAGATACAATGATAGAGATAGACATCACCTATAGATACAATGATAGAGATACAATGAGACATCACCTATAGATACAATGAGACATCACCTATAGATACAATGATATAGATACACATAGGCATCACCTATAGATACAATGATAGAGATACAATGAGACATCACCTCTAGATACAATGATAGAGATACAATGAGACATCACCTATATATACAATGAGACATCACCTATGGATACAATGATAGAGATACACATATACATCACCTATGGATACAATGAGACATCACCTATAGATACAATGAGACATCACCTATAGATACAATGAGACATCACCTATAGATACAATGATAGAGATACACATAGGCATCACCTATAGATACAATGATATAGATACACATAGGCATCACCTATGGATGCAATGAGACATCACCTATAGATACAATGAGACATCACCTATATATACAATGATAGAGATACACATAGACATCACCTATAGATACAATGAGACATCACCTATAGATACAATGAGACATCACCTATAGATGCAATGATAGAGATACACATAGACATCACCTATAGATACAATGATAGAGATACACATAGGCATCACCTATAGATACAAAGAAGACAAAACAAAAGAAATAATCAGTGTTGTTACCTTCAATGAAAACAGCCAGCGCCAGGGAGAGCCGGTCCAGCCCCCGCGGAACATTCAGGGGTAAGTAGGTCAGGATGTCCACCACTCCAGAGAGGCCGTAGAAGAAGTACATGGTGGAATGTTGCCAATTCATCAGCTTCACCCAGCTGTGCTCCTCTCCATTCAGGAGATGCATATGAGGACCATCCGGCACAAACTGCTCTGCCAGGATCCCTGGACAACAACGATAAAACGTCACTCATCTGACATTGGAATGATGACGATGGAATTATTTCAGTCATTGTACATTGTATCCGCCCGGTGGGACGCTCTGCACTGCGCTGCCCACCTCCAGGTCTTACCTATGAGAGAGAAGACCGCCTTCGCTATGCCCTCAATGAGCTCCAGGCGCTGCTGGCACTTGTTGGGTCGAAAGTTGCCTTTCCCTCGGCTGTTCAGGTATCTGAGCGGGAATTTCACCGACCACCACAGGCCGAAGACCAGGAAGAAGCTGCCCGGGAGGGCATGGCCCTTGAAGTTCGCCATTCACGTCCCTGGAAGAGAAATGAGGACACGTTGGTCAGGGATCGGAGACAGGTGGAGGTGCCACCCAATGACTAGGCGCAGGGTGTGTTAGGAAGAGCAGAGCAACCTGATACTCATTATATCGTGCCAACACAATTAACGGCTGAGAGAGGAAGATAAGAGACAAATCACTGACCAAACTGCTATTAAACAGCACTCAGAGTGTGAAATCATGAAAGAGAACCTGTCTACAGAATACCACATACACCAGTACTATAGTGTTGGGGTTGGGTTGGGTTCCATCCAATACCCCGGTGAGGTACCAACGCTGAATTCTGGGATGTAGAGGGGGCACACTTGTACTTTCATCTAAAGCTGCACTCCGGGCACAGAAACTTTCCTTCAAGCATATTCCTCAATAGCCACAAAGGATACAAATCCACTTTGTGGGTACCACATGCCTTTACAAACCCAGATATTACCTTGTAAAGTAGTAGTGACATCATTACTGGGCTGCACATAGCCTGTGCAGAGAACAGAGCTGTGGGAAGGGCCCAGCAGGCTTCACTTTCTACAGTAAACTGCAGGAGGGGGGGGGGGAGACAAGACCAGTCACCCCGCACAAGGAGAGAGAACAGCAGTGAGCGGTCTTTATTACAGGAGGGGGCGGAGACAAGACCAGTCACCCTGCACAAGGAGAGAGAGCAGCAGTGACCGGTCTTTATTACAGAAGGGGGCGGAGACAAGACCAGTCACCCTGCACAAGGAGAGAGAGAGAGCAGCAGTGACCAGTCTTTATTACAGAAGGGGGCGGAGACAAGACCAGTCACCCTGCACAAGCAGAGAAGGGCTTATGTCTTTAGGTATCTGCCCATGACAAATGAAACCGGAGGAGACGGTACATTTCATCCTTGGGTGATGTTAGCTTTAGCTGAGCTGGAATCTGATCATGCCGGGATTAAATGGATAGAGGCACCTGTAGGTGTTGGCGGGAGGGGGGGAATTAATCAGTGCAATGGGGAGGATTAGTTGCCCCTGAGGTCTCCAGTTTCCTATGACGTGTGAAGCTCCGCAGTGAGAGCAGGACCTGTGTGTGACTGGCGCGCTCCCAGATGTGCCCACCGCCTGTCCCCGGGGGTCTCAGCCGCCTGTCCCGGCCACAATTACATCCCTCAACGAATCTGCCGCTCCAGGCAAACGCCTTGTTTGCCTCGCGGCAGATACGCCCCTGGGCGCACCATCGATAACACGAAATCACCTGCACAGACCTTGTTGAAAGCTAAGCCTTGTTTAAGCTGAGGTTGCATACTTGTTGTTGTCACTATGTCGCCCAGAAGAAGGGACCCTGCGTGGCCCCCCCGAAAAACGTTGGCTATATGTCGCGTGTGACAATTTAATAAAAAGTGCCTATACTTCTTGCACATATCATCGAGCGCTGGTGACTTCTATTAATGGGCACCATAACGCACGTTAACGCATTTTGAGCCTGAACAGGAGCAATTTTGATGATCTGTGCTGCAGAGAAGTGAGAGATGGAAACGAAGAGTTGAAGGAAAACACAAAACTGCATCCGGCCTGACGTATGATCTTCATGACACATTCTGGTTTCACCAGCTTTTTAATCCCAGACTTCAGAGGCCGTCGGTGACAGAAGCACATTACCAGTCACAAGACACAAAAACAGCGTCACGCACAGAGTGACAACAAAACCCCCTCGGATTCCAGGCCACCCCACGAGCCAGCATTCTGGGCTTTCAGTCTGCAGTTTGGCCGATGATGATAGTCCATTGTCACCAACAATGCAAACCTCACTCCCAGCAACTGCATGGCGTCACCTCTCCCCCACCCATTACCGGCCATTTAGTATGCAGGTATGTGAAGTCACCGCATTCTTTCACGGATGGGGATTCTGTGCCTACATATTCCGGTGGGAATTTACCCCGGGGTGTGGCCCTGCAGGGTAACCATATAACTAACCCTCCGCAAAGAGATTCAAACCGGCACAGGAAAGACAATGAAGGGTTAAAGCTGATTCATTGCTATGAGTCCAATACACACAATTCTCATCATAGAAGTGTTGGACGCTGCGGCCCCACTATGGGTTCTCATGCTTACTGCATTAGTGAGAAGGCGGCAGGAGTGAGACTTTGCAGAGAAGAGAGCAGAGGAGGAAATTCACTCTTCAGTATGTCTGAGGATGTACGGTGGTGCGAGGTTCCACCCAACGTACAGATTATCGAGCGATAGAAGAGCAAACAATACGTGTCTGTGAACTCCCAGCCATCCGCACAGCCGCTTCCAGATCTACAACCAACTAAACAACAAGAAGAATATATACCAAGTAACCCGAAGCCTGCGGGCCCAGAAACTATTGCCTGCCGGGGCGAGAGACGGGGGGCGGGGGGGTCTGATTAAATCATAATGAAATTATTATCATTATTATACAGGATTTATATAGCACCAACAGTGTGCGCAGCGCTTTATATTTTTATTTGTTATAGAAAGAGAGAGAGAGAGAGTGGAGAGAGAGAGAGAGAGAGAGTGGAGAGAGAGAGAGTGGAGAGAGAGAGTGGAGATAGAGAGAGAGAGAGAGAGAGAGAGAGTGGAGAGAGAGAGAGGGGGGGAGAGAGAGAGAGAGTGGGGGAGAGAGAGAGAGAATGGAGAGGGAGAGTGGAGAGAGAGAGAGAGAGAGAGAGAAAATGGAGAGGGAGAGGAGAGAGAAAATATAAATATAGAGAGAATGGAGAGAGAGAGAGAGGGAGAGAGAATGGGGAGAGAGGAGAGAGAGGGGAGAATTGAGAGAGAAAATGGAGAGAGAGAGAGAGAGAGGAGGGAGAGAGGGAATGGAGAGAGAGAGAGAGAGAGAAGAGAGAGAAAATATAAATATAGAGAGAGAATGGAGAGAGAGGGGGAGAATTGAGAAAGAGGGAGAATGGAGCGAGAGAGAAAATGGAGAGAGAGATGGAGAGAGAGAGAGGAGGGAGAGAAAATATAAATATAGAGAGAGAATGGATAGAGAGGGAGAATGGAGCGAGAGAGAAAATGGAGAGAGAGATGGAGAGAGAGAGAGGAGGGAGAAAGAAAGGAAAGCAGAGAGACGGGGGGGTCTGATTTAATCATAATTAAATTATTATCATTATTATACAGGATTTATATAGCACCAACCGTGTGCGCTGCGCTTTATATTTTTATTTGTTATAGAAAGAGAGAGAGAGAGAATGGAGAGAGAGAGAGAGAGAGAGAAGAGAGAGAAAATATATATAGAGAGAGAAAATGGAGAGAGAGAGGAGGGAGAGAGATGGAGAGAGAGAAAATATAAATATAGAGAGAGAATTAAGAGAGAGGGAGAAAATTCAGAGAGAGAGAGAGAGAGAGGAGGGAGAGAGGGAGAATGGAGCGAGAGAGAAAATGGAGAGAGAGAGGGGAGGGAGAAAGAAAAGCAGTGAGAGAAAAGAGAGTGACTTGCAAACCCAAAAAGTGCGGCTGCGGCCCTCTGACAGCTATGAGCCCATAATGAGGCAGCAAGGCATTCATACTACTACTCTCAATTCCTCAATCTTCAGCTTTCTGATTTATCCAAATTTTAGAATAAAAGTAAACTGTGAGTAAGTTGTTGGGGTCCCTCCGGTATCTAGCAGGAACCCCCAGAATGAAGGTGATCATGTTGCAGCTCTCACCTGTTTGCTGTCTCCTGGGCTGTGAGCAGGTAGATGTGGAGCAGGTGCTCTCTCTGTGCAGTGCAGGATGGGAGGTGTATGCCTGGACGACCTTTGAACACTATGATATAGGTGCGATAAAACCAGTTCTGTTTGTCTCGCAGTCATTACTACCACCCGACATTCTCTGTGTTTTGCTGGGCTAATCCCCAGACCACGCTCATTACATAACCTGAATGTTGAGATTGTTTCATTGATCACAGTTTTCGGACTCGAAAAACAAGGCTGAGCGGCCGCAGAGTCTTCGTAAATAAGCACAAAATGAAGCCGACATCTGTTATCTGTACTGCTCCTGTCCCTTCTATATACAGGATAAGACAATGAGTTATATAACTAAGAGATAATATTATAAAAGACGTGACATTAGAAGACGGGGGAGAGGGAAGGGTGCTAGAGAGGTCAGCCCTGAACTGGTTAACCCCAACAAATATGCCAGGTTGCATGATGTTGGGGATATTAGTTCAGGGGTGGCACTGCTGGAGCAGGACGCCTCCTCATCCGGGAGGCGCGTGTTTAGCCACTCCGTAGAGACGGCGCGAGTTGAGGGAACTTAACAAGTGGCTCCGGAACCGGTGTCGGAAGGAGGGTTTTGGTTTCCCGGAGAACTGGGCTGACTTCTCAAGTGAGTTACCGGCTCTTCAGCCGAGACGGGGTGCATCCTAATGTGAAAGGTGCATTTCCAATATGGCTAAACAAAACGGTAAAACAACACATTAAGGAAAAGAAAGTGGCATTTAGAAAGTATAAAACGGAGGGGTCAGTATTGGCATTCCAAAACTACAAAGAATGTAACAAAAGATGTAAACTGGTAGTCCGGCGGCTACAATTGAATGTGAGAAATATATCGCCACAGTTAGTAAACGGAACCTCAACATTTTTTATCAATACATAAACAGTAAAAAGGGGAGAAAGGACCAGATAGGCCCAATAAAGGACATAACTGGTACGTTACTGATGAAGGAGACGCAGGATCCCCTTCATCAGGCTGAACAAGCCTGATCCTGCGTGACCCCGAAACGTAGCAATGAGCATGTCTTGCACGTGCGTAAAAAAAAAAAGGACTTCTACCTTTTGGAGTGCCGGTGTCCATACTTTTTTTTTTGTGGTGTTACTGGACAGAAGCCATCCGTCGACTGCCGATGCACCCAACCATTCTTATTATGGATAAGCGGTCAGGAGTGCAATGGGTATATGGATTGTAGGTTTTCTTATTATAATAATGAATTATATTATAATTATTGTAACATAGGTAATTTCCTATACTGCTCCCAGTTATTTTCCATTGCAGCTTTGTCATTTCTTCAAACTCAGCATTAAAGATATTTCTCCTCCCCCATTTCCTTCTATAGGGTGGCTACGCAGCCCTGCAGGGACCTCTGGAGCTCCAAGTGTAGCCACCTTCATGTGCACTCTACTGGCCAGGACTACATTCCTATGCACCGGTGCTCCATGCATCAACAGAAAGCTCGAGGCTCAGAATTAGACGGGGGCACATATGTGCTTCATGTACAAGGTGCAGAGCATGATGCAATATGTAGTCCCAATGTGACTTTATGATGTAAACAGAGTGTGCTCTCCAACCAGAAGTTCAGGGCACTGCCACTAAGAGATATGGAGCGATGGTCTACAGAGCCTAAATCAACACAGCTAATAGAGAGCATCCATATGAAGAAGTATTCAGGTTCAGGGCTGGGCCAAGGGGTGGGCAGAAGAGGCGACCATCTTTGGGGCAGGACCTGCAACCTATGCTGCTGAAGTAGTTCACAGCTTAAGGGGGTGGGCACTTTGGCCTTTTCGCCTTCGGTGGTAAACTCCTAACACAGGGGTGGCCACAATTTTTCGTCTGGAGATCTACTTTTCTGTGCGGCTTGCGTTTCTGTGCGTTGTAGAGGCCGAACACTCTGGAACGCAGACTTTGTGGTGCGAACTGTTCCTCTCTTTTGGCCGTCTCTCTTCTCTCTCTCTCCTCGCTCTCTCCCCTGTTTCTATCTGCTATCTCTATCTGCCGACGTGATCCCCCCCTTCCCGTCTGCGGCATCTGACACATTCAGCCGCACTAGCACCGCGGGAGGGAGCTCAGGTCAGTGAGCTGATCGCGATCTACCAGTGTTTGCTTTGCGATCTACCTAATGGGCACCCCTGTCCTAACAGGTCACCGGTTACTTTAAGTGCAGGAATAACCAAAGATTGACAAATATGTACAGTATATGTTATAGGTCATACAAATCCTGCGACATGAGAACCTCACCAGCCAATTCTCACACCCAACAAAATTCCCGAATCTATGCAGGAGAGACTGCTACGGATGTGGACAAATGTATTGCTAGCCTTCCACAAGAAATGAAGGAGACACAATTTTCTCTGAAATGAAACAATGACCAAAGTAATCGGCATCCATCATTGTTTGCTTCATATTTCATATAAGTCAGACGTTGCTTTTACATTTTTGATTCAACAGAATATTTTAAATAAGAAAACAAATAAGAACGTCAAGGATACAAATGATGGGACCCTTAACCTAATATTGAGTGAAACAACCTTTAGAGGAAATCGCTGCAAACAAAGAGATTTCTGTGGCTCTCAATGATACTTCTGCACTTGCCAACAGGCTGACTCTTCTTCAGCTGTCTCCGGTTTGAAGGGCGTCTACTCCAGACTTCATGTTTCGGCTCTTTCCATAGATGTTCCATAGGATTCAGATCTGGGTTCATAGAAAGCCGCTTCAGAATAGTCCAATGTCTTCTTCTTGGATGCTTCTAGCTGTGTGTTTTGGTCATTACCCTGTTGGAGGACCCATGACCTACTAGTAAAACAGCTTTCTGACACTGGGCATTATGTTTTACTCTAGAATTTATTGATAGTCTTGAGATTTAATTGTGTCCTACACAGAGAGAGGGGTCACTGTGCCAGACGCAGCAAAGCAGCCCCAAAACATAACCAAGCCTCCAACATGTTTCACAGTAAGTACTGTGACATAACTGAATATCCTCCATGTTTCACAGTAGGTACAATGAGGCCCAGTTATGTCACTGTAATGACCGAGCCTCCTCCATGTTTCACAGTATGTACAGTGCTCTTTTCTTTAAAAGCTTCATTTTTGTTTCTGTGAACATATAGCTGAGCTGATGTGAGTTGCCGAAAAGCTCTGGTTTTGTCTCATCACTCAAAAGGACATTCTTCTAGAAGCATTGTGTCAGTATGCATTTTTGCAAATTCCAGTCTGTTTTTTTTATTTTTCTTCCTCCTTTGAGCCTATTGTTGGTTAAAAAGGCGATGCATGGTGCGATCAGACATTGATGTACTTGGACCTTGGAGTTCAGCTTGAATCTCTTTGGAAGTTTTCTGTGGCTCTTTGTCTACCATTCACACTCTCCTGTTCAATTTGGAGTCCATTTTCCTCTCGGCTACATCCAGGGAGGGTGTCTACATCTCCAAGGACGTTAAACTTCTTCACAATATTTGTAACTGTGATGAGAGAGATTAACAGTGTTTGATAATATCTGAATGCGGCAAATAAGGAGGTGAGGTATAGGCTAAGGCCAAGACCCGATCATCGTGAGCTGGTCTGCAGGTCCCAATCGATCTGCTCAGGAAGGACAAGTACACGGTGCGGATCGGACATGGGGGGCTGGAGCTCCCATCTATCTGGCCACCATCCTGGACTATTTGACCACTGAGATCCTCAAGCTGGCCGTCAATGCTGCCTGGGACAACTGGCTGTCCACAATGAGGAGATGCTCAACAAGTCGCTCGGTGGGATCACCATCTTCCAGGGAGGAGTCTTCTGCAACATCCAGAAGATCGAAAGCCACAAGCCTGCCAAGGCCAAGTAAACCTGATCATGGTACTTTAATCGGAAAACTGATGATCTGCGCTACCGGAAAAAAAGAAGAAAAACCGGACTGGCTAGAAGCTGCTAAGCTCAGGCCCTAAGCCTTAAAGGAGAACTATGAGATGAGTGATTTCCACTCACCTCATAGTTCTAAGCCGACCTGTGACAATGAGACTGTCACAGGTCTGCTCAGTAGATTGGGAGGTGAGCGAACACATACCGGTGTTCGCTCACCTCTCGATCCTGTCACAGCTCTCTGCCATGACAGGGGAGGGGCTGGATTCCCCTCTCCCCGCTCCGATCTCCCAGCGCTGACTGGCGGAACGGATGGGGCGGGTACAGCTGGCTCTGCCTCTAGGTAGGCAGAGCCAGCTGTCAGTCACGCAGCTGGGCGGATCCCGTCATCTACGTCGGGATCCGCTCCAGGTGTGGCGTCTCAGTATACCGCGAGCTGTAGCTCCCTATATACTGAGCCTAGGGTGACGGGAGGATGCTAGTTTGTGTCCTCCCGTTACCCTAAGGAGAACTATGGGCAAAAACACTGACCTCATAGTTCTCCTTTAAAGGTTAATTGATCAATAGTGGAGCGCTTTAAGCCTTACGGTGTGATAACCAAAAACACAGTGTTAAAGGGTGTTTGTAAATAATAAAAAGATCACTTGATGTATTAGACCTCTCTCCAAGGAAAGTGTCAATAAATAATATATGTCTGCATGGACACTGTGTGACAGACGAATAAAGATGTTTTACAATGTGAATCCCTCTCGAAAGAGAGTAACGTGCAGTATTAAAATATGTTGCTAAAACTCATACATGATGTGAGTGTGCATATTGAAAAAAAACATACAGTCCTAAATGGAATGCTGTGAGTGAAAATGCTAACATTAAGTGGTTGAAACAAATACAATTGAGAAAAAATGAATGAATAAATAAATGATATAATAAACAGTGAAAGTGTCCAATTCTGTTTCTTTCATTCACGGGAAAAAAAAGTTTTTTTGAAATGATGTGAAGCAAAGGACGTGTCCCACAACTAAAAGAACCGTAAAATGCTTGTCAGAAGAAAGAAACCCCCGGAGGGTTATGTACTAAACCAGATAGAAGGTGTTTGTAAACCGTATAGTCTTCCGGGATAGGGGCCACATCGCTCTGTCACATGCTACGTTCCGTCATCGCCTCAATGTGTCAG